CGTGGGTGAGCGGAGCGTGGTACATATTCGGACTTACATCATAACAATGACGTCGACGGAAGTGTAACAGAGTTAGTAAGTTGCAAGTTGAAGCTCTATACTTGCTTAAAATGTAAACAGGTTACCCGTTTGGAGATATCATGGAGATATTTTTATAACTCAGTTTCATAGATTACGTTGTATCTTGGATGTTCAATTTGGCACAGCAGCCAAATTTAAAGGTGAAACAGCCCAGCATAGAAATTTATAGTACCTATCTGTTGCAAAAATGCAGTATTAACTATGTTTATATTACTATGTATTGAGGTTAGCTAAAAAAAAATTAATAAGAACGAATATGTATTTCTTTTTTATTTTATTTATTTGGCCAACCAACAAAGCAAACACGGAACATGAAATAGAATCGCACAGCCGTGTCGCTTACATATATAGACATATACTACACAAATATGAACAAGCTGATACAACCGCTATAATGGGATGTTGACACATTTTATTCCAATGGAGTTATTAATTAAGCTCACATACGCTTACACGTTCTCGAACATTCGAATTCCAAGTCACATAAAGTCAAACAATATACGCAATTTGTCACGAACAATAAACAAAGTAGGGCATCATCCCTACTGTCATCAACAGGTAATCATAAAATTAAATAATACCTATTATTAACATCATTGTATTTGGTAATTATCAGTAGAGATGTTTTAACCAATTATTCTGTGTGAAACGAAAAGATTTGTAAAGTTTAGATTCGAATAGCAAAAATCTTCATGGCCTTATTACAAAATGTTAACGCAAGGTTAAACACTGGTTAAAATTGACATAGTGTGGAATTGACATTTTAAACCAGTATTAAACTTTTTGTAATAAAGCCTTTAAAAGATTACGCGTGATTTGTTTCTATGCACGAAATCTAAATTCAATAACGCTTATTTCAAAACACAAACGATGATTGAACGATACAAATTCTGTTTTCTGCTGATTTCATAAAACATCGAACACATACATGCATTCGACATTATCAACATTGTATAATACACATTTACAGGATCCAATTTAGTCGAATATTTTGAGATTGTAACGAAATTTCACAAAATCACGCACGTGTAGGTGTTTGTTTTTGTTCAATTCTGAAATAATTTTAAATCCTTTGCTTTGAAATTTAAAAGAATCGGTTTTTTATTACATTTAAACCCCTCCTACCCCTACCCCCTATGTAGGTAGGTATCTACTTACCTACATATCGTAGACTGAATTTATTTTCATTGAACTGTCTATCAGCATCGTATACCAGATAATCAAGTGCTCGTATGTCTAACATATTTAGTCAGAATATTTTTTCATTTAACTGATGGATGTCCTGAAACGTGTACTACCAAAAGATTCTTAAAACACATTAAAAAACTTAACTGTTTTCCTATTAATTTCGTTATTTTTGATCGGACACGGCTGTTCTTATGAATAGTATGATATATTATAATAGATTCAACCAGAACTTGTTATATTCAGCACTATTGTTATCAGTTATGATTTCGTTCCCATCACAATAATGACAAAAAATAGAGCAACGTTTTTAAAACATCCCGGTCCACCATTAAAATAATCACTTCCTTCGTGTTGTACTTTTTAGAATGGCTGGAACATAAATTGCATCTTTTTAACGCGGCTGCGCTATCATTCGTGAATTCACATTTAACACCTATAAAATATGATATTCGTGTAGTTTATTGCATATTTTGAAAATTTTATCTATTTCTCTACGATAAATTTCTTTTGTAATTCGTATACCAATTTACACTAAATTAGACGACGCTTACAATCAAATAGTAAAAGTCTATCTCTATAAAAAATAGTAATGTGCTATCGTTATTATTAAATCTGATAAGCTGTTCTGTACCTAACCTTCAGTACCTAAAGATAAAACATTTCATGGAACTGAAACTTACATTTCAACTAGAATTAAGTTCAAATAAAATACAACTTAAGAAAATATAGTACTCGTAATGTCGTAGCGAAGCTTCAGAAAACGAATCCTGACTTTACAGTCGCTGCAAGGACTTTCCTGGAATAATATTCCGTAGTTTTATTTTTATGCACCGTCAAGCTATCTGTTATTTTTAGTGCAGGCTTCAAAAAGCCAGCTGAAGTCGGAGGTCATGCCCTAAAGCCAGCCTCGAACGAGTCGGCGAGTGGTCGGCTTACCTGCTCCGTTTTCTCTTCCAATTCACCCTTCTTAACAGCTACAGGAATAAAACAATATGCCACTTGACTCTAAAACAAAGCAAAGGCAAGTATGAACTAAAATTCTCATAGGTTTTCCCAGAAAAGTCGTCTAACATTTCAGTTTATGTAATTTTGAGGCAACTGCTGTTTTTGAACTATGAATTATATTAATACCTGATGAGTTTGCTACTAGGTATGAGGTTTAGCTTGTGGTAACAGTTGTATAACATACATAATGGAGTCGTTACTTTGCAAAGTAAAGGTGTGGGTCACAGCAAGATAAGTGTGAGTTGTAACCAACCAGAGATCATAGAAACTAAAGGGAGATGTGACAAGGGGGCCGGTGTCGTAGCAATATGCCCAAAAACAGAACACATTGCTTGTGACAGCAGCGACGTCATAATGTAAACCGTTTACATTGCTTGCGTAGTACTAAAGATTATTGGAACGTTGAGTAACTAATACCGCAATGGATAATGAGCACATAATTATTTTGATTTCTTTGTGTGTGAATTTCTAATGCGACATTGAGTTTCAAACTCAGAGCATTAGTTGTCAACTCTCTAAATCTCTATTTTTGAAGATTGTGGAAACTTACGAGTAACTGTATTGATTTGGAATTGAAAAAAGTTAGTCATTTATGTTGTATTTTACTGACAAACTCTCACTGCTCTAATTTTATTCATGTGCAGAAATTTATAAATCAGTGCTAAACTCTCAATTCGTCATCAAACATTTTAAACCATCTCAATTACACTGAAGAACCAAAAAATCATTTCAACCTGCCCCAAATTCCTAAAAGCTTTCGCAAGTAGAAATAACAGCAATGAAATAAAGTTGGTACATAATGAAAAAGGTATTAATCATATCCCGAACAATTTACTAAACGAGGGTGTCCTAATTGCTCGCAAATGACAGAATCCCGGGAAGGTGCTCCGTTCTACCCATTAATACTTGTTAGGTGCGAACATAAAGGGAATCGCGCCAGTCTTTAGGAAAAATTATGCATTCGCACTAGCTCATACTTAGTTTCACGGCGAATGTGCAAGGTGCAATCTCTGGCGTCGCTCGCACTGAAATGGATATTGCGTTGGAAATAAATTGAACAGCAACACGGCTGCGACTGCATTTGTTTAGTCATTTGTTATTCGAAAATGCGATTTAGATTTTTAGCGTCATGCAAAACAATATTACAGAGTTGAATATTGCTTCTAGTTTTAAACAAACAATATTGACAACGTTGAGGCTTACAAATAACTAAACAAATAGTGAGCAATATCGTGGCCTGTATGACCGTCTACATTATGTATTCCCAGAGACAATTTATCCGTAAATTGGCTTAGATAGATAATGGCTTGGTTATCTGTAAACAAGATTTATTAGTAGTGCCCTGGACGGGGTTAATAGAATCGATGATAATAATCTAAATGTCTTTGATACAAGTTGTGCTCAGAATTAGTTTTCTGAAGACTATTTCGACTAGAGAAGAGAAATCTAAAAACTTTGTTCTTTTTATATTTCATTCTATTGAAAGCAGCAGAGATATTAATCTTAATTTTTGTGACCTTTATGACTTTAGATTATTTATTGCTATTAGAATTATCAACGACTAATCTTATTAAGAAAAGAGAAAAGATTTGGTCCTTTTAAATGACTTTAGTTACTTTTATGATAAGGTTTAGTCTAAATGGACACATCAAAACTTATGTTAAGAAAAACGACTAATTTAATATCAAATATTAATATGTTGCATTCATTTCAATATAGGCATCACTCAGCCACTCGTTTTTAATATATTGTCCTTGCAATTTAAATGTAATAAAACGTCAAAGTATAATTTTTCGGTACGCTAAGCGTTTGATGCGTCGAAATATTGCTGTTAACGGTGCCATAAATTTCTCCAGACAATATTTTTTCAGTCGCAGCTCGCATAAAACGGTGTTTTTAATAAAACCGGATCACGGGTTCCCGTCTGAATATTGTCACAGATATTTCAATATTGGTAGGATTAGCAGCCTATTTAAACATCGCCCTCAATGCCTGGACTGTGTCATATTGGAATACAATTTCATTCAAGGCAACCCCAGAAAATATTGACTGAACGTTTTTAATTTCGCGCTAGGTACATGTACCCTCTATCAACAACAGTTTTTTATAATCCTCCGTAAATATTTTTGTGTAAACTGGCAAGTGCCGGCAATATTGCATCCGTTTTGATACCGACAGGATTTATTTCCCAGCTTATGTACATGTTTGTGTATATTTACTAGCCGATTTTACTGTAAATTTAATTTTAAAATAATAAATTTAACAGAAAGTGAATAAATTAACATAATAACATGTTCATCATAATGATAATGATGAAAAATTCGCTTATTCGGTATTTTCGTATGTTTTATAAGTAATAGTTTAAGCGGATGTTTTCATTACCTTCATTTTTCAATTCAAAATGTACGATTGAATAGGCCATCTTACGATTAAATTAAATAGGATCATTCTGGGTGAGAATTAGAGCCCCTAACTATAAAAAAAATACCCAGTTTTAAAACTATCCGATGTAGGTTCACAGATCGCTACGCGGTGTACTATTTTCATTTGTGACAAACTAATTCAGATTCAATTAAATTTGAATAGAGCACTGTAATGGAATACGTTTGTTTGGATAGCAATCCAAAATGTCACTGAGGCTTCAGGAATTTTTAACCAACTTTATTTTTGGATAAACCCTACAAAATCACACTAAATTTTAAATAAACAACTTGAAAAAATCGAACTGCCCAAGGCGGGAATCGAACCCACGACCTTTTGCTTGTCGGGTGACTGCTCTTCCAACTGAGCTACTTAGGCACTTGTCTTAGGCAGTTCGATTTTTTCAAGTTGTTTATTTAAAATTTAGTTTGAGAAGCGCTAAGAAATTTTAATTGCGATTGAAAATCACACTATTCTATTTTACATAGCAAAAAATACCTGCTACTACATTAATTAATGATCTCAAAGGCTTTTTGTTACTTTTTAACTAAAAAGAATATAGATTAAGTTTAATTTAACAGGGATCAACCTTGAGACTATTAGGTATTTCTATTTGTCACAAAAGGTATTTCAACAACGTAACTAATTATTTTGCTCTGATAAATTATTACCTAGAGCGCTCTCTGATATTTAGTAAAATAGTTTCATTGAAAGGTTTTCTGTGATGTCGCTACTCATTTAGATTATTATTTTGAAACTATTTTACTCTTATCAAAATAAAAACTCCATTTACGTGTAAGTAATTCAGTATAGATATAGCAATATGTATGAGTAAGTGCACTGACTAGTCAAAAAAATCGTGTTTTAGAAATGAAAACGTTTTAGAATATGTTTGAAACTATACCACTCCAACTTATTAGTCGCCTATTTATTTCACGAGCTTAATACCATATCACGATATTTTTTTATTTTATGTATAAAAAAAATATCTAGTTATTTTTCACTTTTTAAAAACACGAATTTTCATTCTTTTCCGAAAATATTCGCTTCCAACACTATAGTGTCCGCTTTTCGCAGGGCAGAGTCGGCCATTCATCACGGCAGCTCTTCATAAACCGGGCTATAGCATTGTTATCATGTCGCCCGACATTTATTGTACTGTTCTGTCTCCAAACTGATTAAATTATCAATGAGGACCCAACAAGGAGTCCCGATCCATAATACAAGTGGGACCCTTGTTCCCGAAGTCAAGCGACTAAGCAACTGAGAAACCAAGAGGTTAACGTTTTGGATTATTCTCCAATCCTAATACAACAATGAATCTTTTATACCCACCGTGATTGTGCGTAAAGAACAACACTGACTTTGTTTCCTCAATTTTCTAAATCCTTTGAAGTAGAACAAAAAATGACCCGGACCGCGAACAATGAATTCGCATTGTATAAAGTTGCATGGAAGGCAACTGCCAAAACAGTAATAATGTTTACAATATTTCTACCCCCATCACTGTGCTGGAATGAATATACAAACAAGAAGGGCCACACAGCGTCCTGCTCTAAATCCATTAATCAACGCGGGGCCCATTTCATAAAGTGACATTTTCATTGTTGCGCAGCCCCAAAGTTGCTATTTACTCATTTTATGTCCAGGCTCGAATTAAACACTAAAATCACCACCTTTTCCGTTGTCCGAAAAGCTGACGTAAACGCAGAATATTCCCGATACATTTCGGTTAAAATTTAATTTATAATCTAGTATCCATGTTAGCGCAAAATGAATAGTTGCAGACACCGGGTAGCTTGAATAGTCCGAGTTAGGCAACCGATAGAGGGTCAATACAGAAATAGTGCAACTGAATGAGTAACTGGACTAAGGAATTATTGGAGTAAATTCTCGAGCCAGCGCCAGTCCAGTCAGTAGCTAGTTAACGTTTGATGTTTTACCTCGCAAAGACATTCTATAGATTTCCGACAGTTATTTCCTTCATTTGGACGCTAAAGTTATTCCTTTGAGAGTTTAACGGGTAAATTTCTAATCGTGAAATTGAGTACAATAAGTTTTGAAACGATCAATGGAAGACTGGTATTGTTAAAAATCATTTTCTTTTTGAGGATACGGCAAAGTGATGACTATACAATGTTTCTTTTCAGTGCTTTGAACGGTTCGACAATAAGTAGGAGCGGTTTGCGTCGTGAATACATCAATAAGGCCGATGTCGGAAGCGTTCGATGCTTTATTTATGCGTCGCAAGTGACGAGGACCAGAATGTTACATGATTGATGTTATCACGAAACAAGTGTATCAAATCTTTTTGTGTACGCGGCTGCAGTACCTATTGTTTTTGTGTTTCCAAAAAATTTATCAAATCGTATCCAACTGTAGCAAATGCTGATGTTTCTGCTTCAACTTCTAACGCGTGGGATGAAACAGACATTAATATTGCAGTAATAGTTACTTATTAGATCATTATCATACAGTATCGTCCCAGGAGACGGATTTTGGACGATATTCTTGTTCCAATTCGCACACGATATAAGTAAAGCACATTATACGAATTCCTGTATGTGTGTCTTTCGGTGCAGACCTTAATGTTAAAGTAAGACGGTGCAACCCAACCTTAGTAAAGTTCATGTTGTTTAAACGATTCCGAACTGTCAAAAATTACTTATTGCTTCCTTTACCTACTAAAACGCAGTTGAAAAATCAGCTTGCATTACAAATGGCCTCAATCCTCCACAGTAATAACTGCAAGAACAGTCAATGACTAAAAACAATGTTATAAAATTAAAAGTACACCCACACCAAAACAATGTCGGCGCAAAAATCCCCCGTAACCATTTCATTTGCAGCCCAAGGCACAGGAAGCGAATGCACCATTCCATTTTCTCAGCGTAACTACGTTGCACGCTTCGAACAATGAAATGCTTTTAAAACACGAAACAACCTGATTCGAATATAATATGACTGTAATTTATGAAAGAAGATTTGAGAGTAATGAACTAGGATACATTTGTTTTCGTTGCTCGGCTTTTTAATTACGATGGATGGAATATTTAAAACATCAAACAAACACCTATATTATCAAGAGATGAGTGACATGGCTGTGGCTGTACTAAATGTATGAAAACTGGAAACATTGAATTTTCGGATACATGCAATTTATTTTGTAACCTATGACCGTACCGTTCGATAGAGCTCGTAAAGCACTTTCAGAATCAGTAATCAGTTTGTGGATATCTTGTATAGTTTAGAAATAATCGAGTGAGATCACTTATAGTTTCCACCCTGTTCGTTCGTTCGTTTCAGCCAAATGACGTCCACTGCTGGACAAAGGCCTCCCCCAAGGTTTTCCACAATGAACGGTCCTGTGCTGCCCGCATCCAGGCTCTTCCCGCGACCTTTACCAGATCGTCGGTCCACCTAGTAGGAGGCCTGCCCACGCTACGTTTTCCAGCCCGTATAGACAAAATTTCATGTAAACCTTTTCAAAGTTCTACTATCAGTTTATATAAAATCTTATCGTCTTTTTTCCAATAAGTATAGATCATTTTTCTTTCTAAAACACGTAGGTATGTAAAAATAACCCTTCAATACGACACAATAAGTTCTTCAGAACTTCCATTGTGTGTTTATTCAATCGAACCACCAAGGTTAGTCAAGTAGAGTTCGTATTTTCCTTTAAGCGGTTTAGTCTCTTAGGAAATGAAGAATGATCGAATTTTACGATCGCTTATAAAGTCAAAGGGTGTATAAAACTTCAATAGAAATATTTCACAGAACATTGACTAAAATTTTTCGAAAATATTACCCTTTTCTTGATTGAATCTAATCAAAATTGATTATACATTCCTTGTACCTTATTACATATGCCATTAAATTTAGATTGCAGTAACAGCCCCAAAAAAGAGAAAACGATTATTAAAATGTCCGTGTATCAGTTTTGACGATAACAATCATAAAAGGCAATTTTTCGAAGCCTGTCGCAATTCATACTCAACGAGGCTTTACGGCTCTTACAAACATCGATATTTTTTTCTGATTTATACAACGTGTTATTCCAATAACGTAGTGTAAGAACTCACTTATCTATCAACTAATATTTTTCATATTAAATACTAACATACGAGTAATAACAGAATAGACATTTGCCTAAATCAACTCGTATTATTATAATAAACATCTCTCAGAAACATATGTGGGTAGGTAGATACAAACGAAACACATTACACAAAATACGAATACGCTTATTAATCTTATGCTACCAACACCTACATAATATACCATGCGAGCCTAGAGATCTCGGCATATTTCTATAACGAGTCCCCTTCGTAGAATCCATGTCCCAACGTCGCTTCTCTAATTAGCAGACGTCCAATTAACGTGTTAGTAACACAAACAGCGTTCAAGAAAAACACAGCACTCTCCAGAAACAGGTTTTCTTAATTAATTGTAGTAAACACCGGATTTACCTGTTATTTCTTGTATGAAAGAAGCTGTAAAACGTAGCACGTTTAAGAGCTTTAGCGCAAAAAGTTTCGAGTTTGACTCTTGGTTCAATTAATTTGAATGAGAACTTTTATTGCCTTATGAAATAAAAAAGATTGTATTTTTTACACTTTCATGTTCACAATCATTTTTTTTACAATCATTTACACAATTACAAATGTCTCCTAAATTTAATTTTACAAAAATAATTTCAACCTCCTAATATTTCATCCGAAAAATCGAATCAAATGCTCCTTTACGTGCACAGATTTCAATTACATTCCACCGTTTAATTTTTAATAACCGGCCGCAAATAAAATACATTAGAGCCGCACAAAATGTGTTTCGGACGTAACAATAACGGTTTATTGTGAGTCATACCCGCGGAAATAATTAAGTCGAATAAGGCGCGAAGTGAGGGGGATCCCTACAGTAAATTAAATTTGCCCCGCGCGACCACTTGACCCTCGTCGTATAACCATTGAGCAGTCGCGGGTTATTATTGATGCATTGCATAAAATATTACCCTCGGGAAAACGCGTTTAAACACGTCGGAAGCCCACGTTAATTATGCAAAGATTTTTCATTAGCTCAACGATATGTTTGAACGTCTTAAATTCGTTAAATCATTGTAGGTACAGTTATTTGAGCTAGATTCGATACAGTTTATCAGCTGCCCGATCTATTTTGCAGCTTTTGTTTTTGACGTATAAAGGAAATCACCTACTTTACTCCTGGTATAGCTATTTCTGTGATCGGAAAACACAGTGAAAGTTGGTAAGATTACTTTAATTTAATCAGTACTTAGGCTGAGTTGCACGACCTAACTTTGACTGTAACTATAATGATAAGCGGTGTTTTTTGTATGGCAGATTTTTGACGTTTGTCAGAGT